TTCGATTACTGTTTACTATTAAAAACAAAAATTCGCGAAATTTTCACTGTAATTTTAATTTTTTTGTCTACCAAAAATCTAATTTTCAGTTTGTTCCTTCGTCCATGCTCTAAGTTAATGTTTTAACTTTTTTCCAAAAATTTCAGAATGTTGTTTATAAAATAAAAAGATCTAATAAAATAGTTCATTTTTGAATTGAGAAAAAATTGTTGAAAAAATTCTGTTTTAGATGTTTATAACGTCCGTTTTCTGCGGTTTATAAATAAAAGTCTCAATACCATAAAATATTGTAGCCTCACATTTTGTCTATTAACTGCAAAAACAGGATATAAATAGTATATATGTATGTGTAGGTATACTTATTTTCACATTGTACAATTAGTACCATTTTGCTAAAGTCTTAAAAGCTTAACTATAATAAATCAATGCTTGAATAGAACGTGCGTTAACAATAGAATTTTTATTATATCCGATTGTTTGAAAAAAAAAGTATACATATATACAATATAACAGTAGATTTATATCCCACCCAAAATTCTAATTCTATTTTATTATTTATTGTTTAATTTTTGATAAATTAGCGTGGCCAAATTCGTTACTAAGCGCTGAACATTTTGTAATGCGCAATTCAATTATCAATGGTAATTGATTAACCGTTTCATGTGATATAAAAAATTCTCAAAAATCAATTAAGTGACATTCTATGATACTACATTTAAAGTTGGTTTAGGAAATATACTTTTAAGCCGCTTACATTTATTTATAAGCGTAGAATATGCCAAAGTTCGAATAGCTTTAATATTGATATTTATTAAATAATGAGCTTACTTTGTGAGTAAAAATGTATAAAAAAAAAAAACAAAAATTTGTGCCCGAAAATTAAAGCAAGGAAAGGAATATCAATAACATTGCCAGGATCTCATGTATTCCATGCCTCTATAAAATGACAGTGTGTTAAAAAGCTGAGGGCTTCAACGAAATATTAATTATTTTATTATTCTGTGAAGCTTTCGAAGCATTATAAGTTAAAATATTACATAAAAAACGATATTTGGAAATATTGAAAAATTAAAAAATATATATATATTTTTGTTAAAGAAAACTAAAAGATTTGATTATCTCCTGTGGTCACTCCTATTTCTTTGTTGACAACTGTAGACTCAAAACGACTTCTCGTTTAGCTTTAGTGCTGATTGCGCAATGCCGATTAGTTGCTGTGTCTTCGTTACGGTTCATATAAATATGTAGGAGCTTGGCATTCTCATCGGAATTTTTTTAAAATAGTTTCATTAGTAATTTTTTATGTGTCTTTATTAATTTTATTTATATAATTTTACATATTTTTTTAATAATTATATTAATAAAAATTTCTCAATAATTGTTTAATTATTTTTTTTTTTTTTTTTTTTGTAATTTTTGTACTTTTATATTATACATATAATATTCCATACTCATTACTTTTATTACTTTTTCAAAAGCTGCTCAATTCCCTTTGTAGCACATTCTCACTCAGCAGCAAAATTGCATGCGATATTTCTTACAAGCTTTCATATTTTGCTTTCCATTTCATTCCAATTTTTTGTTTAGAAATTTCTCGTATGTAATTACGCTCATATTGCATTTGAATGCATAAATCTCTGTGTGCGCAACTGGAATTACCAGAAGCTAACTTTATTGCTCCAAATAAGTAAATTGATTGTAAAAACTGCAATTATCTGTAATAAATAAATCTAGTTGACATTTGCAAAAGCTACTGCTTTTAATTTAATTGTTGTCAAAAAATATTTATTTATTTATTTTTTCTCTAAAAAAAAAAGCTTATTTTCTTTATTAAATTTTATTATTTTTAAAGCGTATTTTTACACCGAAAAATTCGATATTTTTAAAAAGTTGAAAAGGAAATATGATATTTAAAATTTTTTTTGTTATTTTTTTTCTTTT